TTGGTACTTTAAGCCATTTTTGTTGATTTTCACTTCAATTGGTTCAAGTTGACGACATCGACTAAGGGGAGAGAGAGAGGGAAAGAGAGAAATGTGAAGATGAACAGTGTTTTTCTTACAAGGATAGTATGGAGATTAAAAATATTGCAACGGCGGATTTCAACGAAAAGCTAACGGAAGGGGGTATTTGTCTCACGGTCATAGTGCAAGGAGGGTCTTTGTCACAAAACAAAGTACAGGGGGGTCTTTGTTATAGACCCCATAGTACAAGGGGGTCTTTGTAATTTACCCTAAATATAGAAGATAAATTTTATCCATAGAAAATTCCAAAAATATTCTTGGAGCTATTCATGTTTTTTAAAATAAGGTAGTATAGATTAGGGGTGATTATTTCCGCTCGGCCCGACCCAACCTACACAAGCCTGGCCCAAAAATTCCGAGCTTGGGCCTAGGTTTTGTGTTCAGGCCCGGCCTGGGCCCAGGCCCACATCAGGCCCGTAAATTTTAGGGCTAGGCTTGGGTTTAATACTTCAAGCCTGGCCCGACCCGCATATATTTTAAATTACACATTTTGTGTATAATGTATACATATATACATGTTATTTTACATTAGATTATATATTTTATATATAAATATTATAACATGACATGCACAATTATATTATATGTAATATTTTATATTATATAATGTATAAAATAGATTTATATGCATGTTATGTCATTTAATATAAAATGTTACAGATATGTAATGTTTTATATATGGAAGACATTGACCCAAAACAGGCCTGACCCAGCCCGGGCCCTATAGACCTGGGCTAGGGCTTATGTTTCAGGCCTAGAACCTCGAGCCTGGGCCTAAGCTATAGCCCTTATCATAAGTGCAAAGCCCGTCCCAGCCTAGCCCATGATCACCCCTAGTATAGATCTACTTGTCTCTAACGACTCATTCAACTTGTTTATTTCTTATGCAAATAAGGACATTTATAACTACATACTTAAAGCATTGGGAAGATGTATGGGGGCATTTGGAGGTTGACATGTGGTTTGCTCTTGTATTAACAGGCATGTTCTAAATTATTGATACGTGTTTCTCCCTCCCTTCTCTCCTTTACTCTCTCTCTCTCTCTCTCCCACCTCTCTTTACTCTCACAATTGAAAATTATGAGAATGCCACATATAAGACAAATCTCCATCTCTCTATATATAATTGATTTTGCAATATTTGAAAATTACAGAAATGCCACATATAAAACAAATGCACTTTCTTTACTTTACCATATAATTGCATGTAGATATCCACAAATTATAGGAGTGCCACATATAAGACAAACTTCCTTATGTAATTGATTTTATGGCATTCAAAAATTATAGGAGTGTCACATACAATTATTTACGATTATGCCATCATATAAATAAAGTGCCATCTCTCTTTTTTCTTGATTCTCTCTCTCCTCCTATTCTATGTCTCAATTTTTATTTATTCATTTATTTATTTTATTATTATTATCTAAAAATTTATTTATTTAATAAAATAAAATAAATTATTTATTTTAATAAAATAAAAGGGGATGTGACATTGAGAGAATGATTTTAATAAATATTTATTTATTCATTTTACTAAATTATTTATTTATTAAGAAATAATTTACTAACAAATTATTCTCTCCCCTCGAGCCCATATTTAGGGCTGTCAACAGGTCGGGTCTAGTTTGAGATAGCCTATACCAATCCTATCCCAATCCTATCCCAATAAACTTTTATTTATTTATTTATTGTATTCAATTTAATAAATTATTATATAAACGTTAATTTATTTAAGAAAAAATAGAGCTGAACCAATGGGTTGGATCTACTCTGATAGAGCTAAATTGACTGAGCATAATTATAATGGTTTTGGTTCCATGATTTTTTCTTGATTAATTATTGGATTGGTTCTCGTTCTTACCTGTCCTGAATTGATTCAAGTCCGGAACCAAATATTTTATGAAATATATATATTTTTTTTCTTTCTTGTAATTTTTATCATGTTTCAAAAATTGCTAAATAATAAATAAGATAATATTAGTTAAAAATCTCTAACTTATTAACATAAAAATAAATTAGTATTATTTTAACTATTGTTTTCAATATAATCGGGTCTATGATTTAATCCTAATTAAATAATTGGTTCAAGACTGATTCTACTTAGTCCTAACTTATTGATAACCCTAAACCAGATTGGAACCCACTATAGTTATTTATTATTATCTATGATGCCGAAAAGATATGGTATGGGAAGAGTTTTGACTAATCAAAACCCATCCATGAATTTTGATAAATAACATTTAATTGGCTACCAAGTTTATGATTCCAGTTGATTGATCAGAAGTTTTTCAGATATCATATCTTTTCCATATCATAGTCGAACCCTTTATAATAATATAATTATAGTTATGTATCTTCAAATGGCATTTATTCACATTAGTAAAAAGGTGAAGTCTCGTACTCTTTTAGACACGGATACACGAAAATCTTGGTCTTTCCATAAGAGCATTTTCGGTCCAACCAGACGGAAGGTGGTTGGATAAAAAAAGTGTTATCCACAACGAAGAATGGAGACAATTTTGTAACACCCAATGGCACAATGCCCTGCCTCACATGGAATTTGTGTTCATGGGCATATCCCACTCTTCACTCCTTTTAAGATCTCGCCCAGGCCCAACCCACCATAACCAACATTGAAAGTGGGAAAGTTCACTGTTCGCATTCACTTAATTGCCACCCAATAAAATACTGACACGTCACTCTTAAATAATTTAACAAATGCTGCGTGTTTGCATTTTACTGGGAGTTGCAAAAAAGTGCTGCAACCGTGATCCCAGCAAGCATATATGAGCTACATTTGATATACATTTATGATTGGTGATGGAAGAAGGAAAAAAAAAGGTAAAAGAAGCATTTTAACTTTTAAATACACCAGTAGTTGAGTGACAGGTGGAAAAGTTAGAGAAGAGAGATAACAGGAAATTAAATGCAGTGAAGTTTTTGGAATGGTTGTCTGAAGTCTGAACGTGATGTAAACGAAAGCAGCTGTCCCTTGTAGCCATGGTCATGGAAGAGAAGCTGATGCCTTACTTTAATAATAGTCACAAGAAACATCAAGCCTTCACTTAATCTTTTCGGGAGCAGAGAAGGTTCTTTTGCCCTGTTGGTTTTGCAGAGAAAGGTGGTCTGCCCCTCTAAAATTTTCTCTTAACTACGAGAAAAAAAAGATGTGTTTTAAGTTCTAACTACTGTACAATCGTCGTCCCAAAAATCCATAGTAGGTTGGATTTTGAGAATCCAAATTTTTTTTGTACATGAAAATGCAAAACCCTTTCCGACTCTATCATTCTCTTGTTCAAGGGTAGGGATAGGTTGGATTTAGAATCCACATCTAATTTCCTATTATTTTTTGTCATGTACAAGTAATAAATAAGTAAGATGCCACATTAAATAACAAAATTTCCAATTATTCCAGTAAGCTAGGCATATAAAAAGCGAATTGGGATGTATTCCTCACAGGTGTGCCTCACACCAATCTCACAAACACATGCCACGATGTATTGAGAACATCTCCCCATGAATAATAAATACAAATACGAGAGATGCTCCCGATATACGATCAAGACATGCTGTGAGGTCGGTGTAAGGCGTGTTCTATGAGTAGATCCAATCTCGTAAAACAACACATATACGTGGATTAGGGAGGGTCAATACATCAAATTTAAAATATTAATAAATTCAAAACCCAGTACATCAAATTTATATGCTTTCCAACAATACTTGGGTTAGGGATGGTCAGGTTTAACCAAATACTGTACGGGATGTAGAATCAATCCCAAACCCCATCCCCACCTCAAAATCCATTCTTCAACCAAAACACCCGCCCATCGAGAGGATAGGGGCCGGTACTAACCGGATAGGGTAGAAATTACCATCCCAAGTCGTCTGAGGCACCCTCTCTGGGCTGTAGCAATATCTCTGCTCATCTTATTTGACTTGAGAGTCATAATGCCTGATAGCGTCCAAATGTACCTTTAGGCGGGTCTCCCTCCCCACACCCCACACCCCACAACCCTAGGATCACTAATTTGATCCACTGTCCTCAGATCCCCTACATCACCGATCAACCACAGCAATTGATAGCTACCATCTATGCATCCATTACCAAGATGGGGTGAAAGGCACTGCCAAAACTAGGGGAAAAATAAAAAAGGAAAAACAATCTACAAAACTGATGGTGATGGCTAATGGTTACTTGGTTAGAGAGGATGGTTGGTTGGACCAGGTTGAATTGCGATTGTACCCTGGCCTAATGCACAAAGTAAGTCAGGTTCACCACCGGTCCCATTTGTTTCGTCTAGTTGTAAACTACTCAGTACTGTTGTCTCTGTCTTTGCCTCTTTGGATAGACGTATATATGTAATGTATGTAACTGGAGTTAAGACTCTGACAGAAGCACCCGGAGTATCAGAACAAGAACATTGCTTACGGTAGTACTCTTCCCATTCATCTTAATTTCTCTCTTTTTCCATAACGAAAAGACACAATTCTGCTAATAAGTACTAACCCTTGATTGTCGAATTCAAGGGATAATCGCTTAGTGGGCTTCCTCCCATTTCCACTTATCCTTTCGTCCTCTTCCGCAAGAACCATCCCGCTTGTCAGTGGGCACTTGCATGGTAGCTTCCGAACGAAAAACCCCATTTTTAACAGTCCCAGACAACGCCATTACCGATATGCGAACTCAGGTCGAGCTTAAATTTAAAAGGGTCTAGTATATGTATATCAGAAGTTTATCATGTCGCGTACCTACTGCTGCTGTGCTTAACCTTCTCTTCTGAAATTCTCCATCAATTGTATCAAATATCAACCATTATATGTTTAATCACGATGACAAATGCAATTAATGCAAATTGGAACGTTTACACAATTAAGCTTATTATTTCTATATAAACCTGAAAGCAGTACCCATTTTTATACACATTTCGGTTACATTACACCACCTATATAGAACATGAGAGAAAAGAAAAATATAATTGTCAGAACACAACATCCACTGTTACGGGATCAACTGATTAATACAAAGAGAGGAAAAAAAAAAAAAAAACAGTAGTTAACAAACATGGAATGTTAAGTAATAACTGATGCCTGAAAGCTCCTCAATTCACAGTGGCCGGCCGTCAATCCCTCATCAGTTGTTGAGCTTCGTTCCTTAGTCCTTCTTTCATCCTTTTAATAAAATCGTCGAATTTTTTATTCAATTCCTCTGTACTTAACAACCCGTTTTCCTCCTCTCTCTCTTCTTCGACACCTTCTGTATTCAAGAACCCATTTCCGATGACTTCTTTTTCTACTACAACGACAGCGATGTTCTCTGAAAACCCAATGTTTTCCACGCCAACTTCCATGTCTACAACCGATGCTTCCATCTCCGATACTTGAGGGACAGATCGTAGGCCATCCCCATCTCCCTCGCTTTTGAAGAAATCATCATGAATGTCGGTCTTGAGTGGAGACGAGCCGATGAGACCCGAGTTTGTGGCCAGGAAAACAAGTATTCCATTGCAAAGGAGGAACATGTATTTCCTGTCAACGTTGTAGTTGAACAAGTGCTGGAATGAGAATAAATTGAATGAATGGAGATAGAAGGAGAGCCATGAAGTATAGGATATGAGGAAGGAGAAGATGAAGAGTGAGAGCAGGAACTGGAGGACCATCCCAGAAAAGAGAGATTTGTTGAGTTTGCGTACAGTTGTAAGATGTTGGAGTTTAATTTGTTCCATCTCTTATCTCTATGTAAGATAGCAAGAGTAGAGCTGTTTGGATGGTGAAGGTGTAGGAGAGGTGATTGTTGGTTCCTTTATATAATATTTCAGTTAAATTAGTTACAAACTTAACGTACTGATTTTGACAGAATTACCAATGTAAGATTCCTTTCATTAAAGATGGAATACTTCAGGGTTGAAGAGAAGACCTCTAAGACTCCACAAATCAAGTCTCCTCTTTTCAACTTTCTAGCTAGCTTTTACCATATGAAGCCAGCAGGTACACCAATTTGAGGATTACCTCTGTGATTTGTCCCGTATGAAAGGTGAGACCGCCTAATTAGTATTAGATTCTACCAAATAAGCATTCAAATCCCCCACCTAACAAGGCAGACACCCAGAAAGAGAAAAAAAAATCAAAAAAGGTGTTATCTTCATGATTCATATGAGCTCATTCAATAACTCTTTCTTTTTCACCTTTTTTTCTGTTTAATTTGGGCAAACTCCTAATGCACATGAACCGCGGACTGCAGCTGATACAGTCCGGCCATAGACTGGGAATCTTTGCATAATTAATTGCATTACCATGGCCTAAACTAAGTACTTCTTTCCCACTCGGGGAGGGCCAGAGGGGGTATTAACTTCAGATATATTATTTGGATGCTGAGGTATGGCGTGGGGAAGAGTTTATATGTGTTTACTTTTCTGGGTTAATTTCAAGGAGCAATTTATTGGTGACTATGAGGATCAGACTCCAAATATTTAAACTAACTTTGTTCTATATACTTTAGTGCGTTTGATTACATGTTACTGGAGATGAATTATTGAATTGTTCAAATAGTTTTATCAATTCTTTATTCATTTGTGCAGGTATTCATGTTAAATTTAGTGGCAGGCAAGGGTCAGAGCAAGTCCCTCAAGTAAATATTCCTGCTATTTGGTTTAGGATCTCACCAGAAAGAGAATAAAAATAATTAAGAGATATAGGACTAAGATGGAAAAGTCATTGCTTCAATTCAGATGTCCAAGTGGAGAAGAAAAATTATACAGGATAATTAAACATGCTTAAATGATTCACCCAGTTTGCATTTTCTTTTTTTTTTAATTTTTTTTTTGAAGGAAACTTCGTTGCAGCCCGCAGGCAACCTTGAATTACCATGAAGCCTCATAAATTTGCAGATCCAACAATACAGTTTGCAGATCCAAGAATTGTATAGAGGGAGAGATGGATCATCTGAGTCTGGTTTGTTGAATTCATGTCCAAACTTAAGTAGACTCATCATGGGTGGTAGACAACAAGCAAGCAACATGCATGCTGGTGTATATATATTTGTTGTTGCGTGATCTGACTACTCTCAGCTGTAGGGCGATTTGGCTTCCATTTGAGCATCGAGCTGGATGAATCTGCAAGATAGTGAATTAGATAACCTGGGGTGGCTAACCCGGCGAGGTCGCTCAAATGCTTCAATTAGTATATGCGAGCTGAGTGCTTTGAGAATTTAAGAGCTTGAGAGCTAGAGAGTAGAATAATCACGCATACTTAGGCCCTGGAGGGGTTGTTGCTCTTATATAGCTGAGCTGTCGTGGGTCTCACGAAATGGTTCCGGGATCTTCAGCCTGAATGGATGAGATCCGTTTCCGCTTTAGTCGGTGAGTAACGTATCAGTCAATGAAGTCTATCATTTCCGCCCGATCCAGGCGGGGAGAGGATAAGGCCTACCATTACGTGGCGTGATCCCGTGAGGTTCGGAGTCTGCTGGAGAAACTTTTGAAGTCGTTACGTGGTGATTCGGGTTGTTAGCCCCGAGCTGATACTTCGGTTCTTTAGTTCCGAACTAGATTGAATGCCGAGGTGCCCCGACGCCGAAGTGAGTTTTGGGCTGAGGTGGATGAATACCCGAGCTCAAACGTTGCGAATTAGGCTTGCCAGGCTGAGCTGTCATCCCTTAGTCAGGTCGCGTCCACGTGTCCCCTTCTCGCTAGGTCGGGTCAAAACACCCTTCATCATATATATATATATATATATATATACATGGTTGCAGATTTGCATTTGCAGGGATTAGTAACCATTTGGGTCAGAAGACATAGAGGACACACCCTTTCTATTTCCAATTGTCTTACTTGGTATGTAGATCTTCAATTTATTATCTCAGCACTCTCAAATGATTGTAATCCGAGCCATTAATCAATGAAATTTTTTCTTCCTTTTTCGTGGAATAAAAAAGGGTAAAATACAAAACCCTCCCCTAAAGTTTCTAACAATCATAAAAACCTCTCTTATATATAGTTTCATTTTAACAAATACCTCCCCTTAACTTATGAAAAATTTGACAAAAATTTCCCTTCTGTCACCTTCCTAGATAGAAAATGGTAGACGGATGCACCAATTTTTTTTCCAAATACCCATTCTACCCTTTTATAAACCATTTTACATACAAAATTACTGAAATAACCGTATTTTCACTCAACAAAAACTTTAGAAGATGATCGTTAGAGGAGGTTTTGTCAAGTTAAAATAGGGTTATTTCAGTAATTTTGTATGTAAAATAATTTATAAAAGGGTATAATGGGTATTTGGAAAAAACTGGTGCATTAATCTAATGTTTTGTGTCTGGGAAGGTGATGTTAGGGAGGATTTTGTCAAGTTTTTCAAAAGTTCAAGGGAGGTATTTATTAAAATGAAACTATAGGGGAGGTTTTTATGATTGTCAAAAACTTCAGGGGAGGTTTTTATATTTAACCCTAAAAAAATAATGAGCAATAGCATCGCTCCATAGTCCGAGACCAGATTTGCTGCTCACACATGGCGCCTCACACAGACCTCATAGGCACATCCCACCGTGCATTGGGAACATCTTCCGTATTTATGTTTTTTTATTTACGGGAGATGTTCCAATGCACGGTGGAATGTGCCTGTAAGGTAGTTGTGAGACCCCCAGTGAGGATCTGATCCCATCCAGCCTCCATGACTATAGACTGCAAGATATTCCTGGGTTTGTTCTATCGTAAGTTCGTAACTATGGATCTGCTACAATTATGACGTGTACAATTGGCTGTAACACCCAACCTAGAAAAAAGAGACCCGTTTGCTCACGATTATTGGGTTTCGTAACCAGTTGTACATTGTACCATGCAGCAGATCCAGAGTAATCAAATGTGCAATAGAGAAGTACGGATACACCCGATCCAAAATTCTGAATAACAACCCCCCCCCCCCTACTACTAGCCCTCTCCCCCCTATAAACCACATCCTGCCCATGAATTTAGCATCAATTCACGGTTAGGATGCATTCACCCTGTACTATGGGGCTATAAAATTCTGATCTGGGCTGATTGGTCATTCTCCCAATGGGCAATGGGGAGGGTCTGACCTGAGGCTAAGGCATGACCAAGAAATCACAATGTCTGTACGTTGGAGGGTAGGAAGCCACCATGACTTGGTAGTGAATACGGGTTTTTATTGTTTAGTTCAGTTCCCATAAAAAATCTATGAGTTTGTACAGTTAGGAATGATGTAAGGAGAAATCTATAGAATTGAAAGGGAGGAGGTAGGGATGTCAACGGGTTGGGTTTGGCATGGGTTTGTCTCAACCCGAACATGACCCGACCCGCTTTAAAATACATAATTTTAACCCAACCCTATAGGGTCTAACCTACTATCGACCCGACCTGACCTATAGCATTTCAATTGTATTTTTTAACATGTTTTGGAGACCTAAAATCCTTTAATTTGAATTAGGAAATTGTTTTATAAAATCTAAGATGTCACTTTTCCTATTAAAAAAAAAGGAAAAAAATCAAAACCAACATGTAAATAAATCTTAAACTTTAAAGCTATAGAATTAGAAGTCAAAAAGTTACAATAATACTTTGTATATATGCAAGGTATCATGACCTGGCAGAGCGGGTCAGCCAAAACTCAAACCCAACCTGGTTTGAATAAACAAAACTCCAACCCGACCCTATAAAGTTGAGTCAAGTTGAATTGACCATTTAATTCGACCCATTGACATCCCTTGGAGAGGTGTAGCATAGATGGGTTTGGGACAATACACATACAGAAAACCAATAAAAAGTTTTAAGGGGGATTGAAGTAGACCATTAATTTCCCAAGCTTCATCATGTTACACTGATTTTAATGCTCCACTGAAAGACAAAGTAAAAGAAGCCATTTATTTTGGGCATTTTCCAGTTTTGACACTTATACCAGATAAATCTGCAAGTACATAGCCCAACCCATCATTACAAACTTTATTAGCTAGAAAATGAGGATAAAAGATGCTTGCTAACTACTCTCTATCTAATTTGCCGACTACTCTCTATCTAATTGTAGTGGAGACTTGGGATCAATTGAGGGGTATATTTTGTGTATCCCCTTGTAAAAAATAAAAATAAAAATAAAAAGAAATCATTGGACTAGTATGACAAAAAGATGTCACATTGGGGTATCTCTTGCTCTACGTCATTTCTTCACATATCTAATTTTTTATTCAATTTTTTATATATCATCAATTAATATAATGTCACTTAAAAAATCAATTTTTTTGGTAAAAAAATTCATACTATTAAGAAACAAAAGCAATTACAGAGAAGGCGGTGAAACCAACCAATTTGCTAGCCACAGGGGTATCGCTTCAGTATATACACCTATTTCTGATAGTCCTTTTTTTTCAAGGTTGTGATTTAGCAAATTGTTTTCCCGCATTGAGAAAGTAAAAGAGTAGTCCAAATCTTTACATTCATCTAAAATATCTTTACAAAAGAAGAAAGCATCAAGAGCTTCAAGAGGATTCCTTGAGACTAGAGCCTATATTAAGGTTTTGTTGTCGCTTTCAACCACAAAAGGACCCTTGCTGACGGCCTTTGCTAGTTTAACACCTTGAAGACAAGTGTAAGCTTCTATTTGGAGAGATGAAGCAGCAATTGAGGGACCAAACTTGATGGCTTCAAAAAGACCCAAATGGTTTCTAGCCACCACTCCAAAACCTGCTTTACCCTCACTCAAAAAGCTTCCATCTACGTTAAATTTCAAAACATTTGGCTTTG